CTATTTTTTTCTTGTTCAAAATAATAAAATGAAAATGACAATGAATCTGCATTCGAAGAAAAATAATAATAAAAAAAACGGGATCATCTACAATACAACCACGCAGTAAATGTCATGTGATCATGAAAATATTCACACAATACAAAAAAAGGCATACAATACTGGAACAATGCCGATGATGATCATGATGATCATATCCTGAAAATATTTGGAGAACAGGAAATTTCTTTCTATACTTTTTTTCCAAAAATATTTTCCATATTCATAATAATGATAATGATGATATGTGAACAAAAAAAAAAAAAAATCTCGATGATAATTGCATTTTGAATTATACAAGATCATGATGATTACAATCAATGGCCATCATCATCATCATCATCATACGAATCGATGAATGAATGGAATAAAAATTTGAATAAAATAAAATGAATGAATAGAATACCAATTGCATAGTTTTCCCATTGCTTTTTTTCTCATCTTTATATGATGACATTTCAATATATAACATATGTATAGTGGAAAAAAACTATATGAATTGAATTCCAATATATTTATTGATTATGATGGTAATGAATATGGAATCCAATAATGAATGTATGATCTTTTTATTTATGAATGATGTTGGCCACTAAATTTTTTCAATCATCGTGATGGCAAAAACGACAACTACGACACCAGAAAAAAACCCATAGCATAATTTTAATAGCTGAAATTCTTTTGATTCTGAAAATAAAATTTGCAACTCAAGAGTTAAAAGCAAGAATGAGATTGGTGAATAAAAAAAAATATAAGAAATTCATTCCAAATTACACACAACACTATTCTCGATAAATTATCATTCTAGACGAGATAAACATAAAAAAACTTTTGATTTTAATCATCAAATTGGATGAACAAACACAAAACATTGCAGTTCATCCACTAAATTGATTCTCTCTCAATCACATTAATTGTGGTCATCATTCAAGTCCTTAGGCTTCATAGAGAATAACAAAAACCCACACACACACACACACTTTATCGTTGTAATCATCCAATTCTTCAACAGATAAAAACTTATGATTTAGAATTGCTGAAACGAAAACGAAAAAAAAACAAAAACGAGATGAAATCAGATGGGATTATCATTATCATCATCATCAAAATAGTGAATAATTAACAAATTTTAGAATTCTGGAAGAAAATGTCCAGAATCAAATTAAACTTTCAAACAGAAAAAAAAGAGAGAAAATTTTTCAATAAAGCAAATCAATCAATCCCTAGTAATTCTAGAATTTTCTTTAAACTTTTATTATTACATTACATTAAATTTCTATTTAAGATTCTTATAGATAATATAATCATTCATAGATAGTAAATGATATTTCTGAATAATCTGAAAAGTTTGAAGAATCATATTATGTTTGACATTTATTTGAATGAATAAATCGGATAATAATAATAATAATAACAATAGAAAGCCAATTCTTATGAAATGCAAATGGAAACAGATATATTGTTTTGTTATTTTGTATATTTGGATTATATGCGATCAAATTTCATCATTTTCATTGAAGCCCAAAGATCAAAAAAAAAAAAAAAAAAAAAAATGATAATGGCAACACTTTTTTTGTATGTAGATCAAGATAGAATAAAATAATAACAAAATGACTGACTGGATGATCCAGAAATTTTTTTTTTTTTTTGGTTTTATACAGTGTATATACAATATACACTCTGATGATGGGAATGTTGAACGATACCATGTTGACGGAAATCGATTCTGTTCGATGTGAACAAACAAACAAAAAAAAAGTAGAGAAAAAAATTTGTGCTATAATTCAAAGCTGATTGTCGTCTTCGTAATCACCATCATCATCATCATCATCAATTGGCAATTTGGAGCCAAATGGATGGGGAATTTGGGAATTTCTCACTCTCTCTCTCAGTCTCTTCATCCAGATTCTCCTATATCTGTCAATACATTTTTTTCAACAATTTTTTATCTGTACCATATCAAGAAAAAAAAGATGAGTTATGATGTTTAATATAAAGATAACATATATTTGACAGTTAAAGTGAATCATTTATTTTTACCACATAGTACCAGTTTAGTAGCAGCCATTTCAATTTAGTTGATGATAGGTTTTGAATATCGTTAACATATTATATTTCGTCGTTACTTGTCAAGGGAAAAAATGAAAAAAAACGAATAAAGAAATGACATAAAGAAAGAAAAATCTGCCCAAAAAAAACCACTCCTCATAAAATTCAAGTACATCAATCCAAAACAATTATATATGACTTTTATATCGACAACAATAACAACAACAACAACAAAACAACAACAACAACAACAACAACAACAACAACAACAACAACAACAAAATTGATATGATGAATGAAAATTGATTTTCACTTTGATATATTTAATTTAATGATGATCGGATTATAAATCTTATGATGATGATCATTTATATATAGCTAGATTATGTGTACGAAATAAAATTCTACAGAAGTCTAGAATAAATAGATGGATAATCAAAATGGATTTCAACATAAACAACAAACAAACAGTGAAAATATCACAGGGCAAAAAAAAACATGACTGACTTGAAATTGGACAATTTTACAATTAATTTATCTATAGATAAAATAAAATAAAAATAGAATGACAAAAAATGTTTAACACTATCGATCGATTGATCGATCCATCATCAATCGATCAAATGATTCAATTCATTCAAATCCATTTATGTTTTTTTTTTTTAGTTATTGTTTCAATGTTGTTGTTGTTGTTCCAAATGTTTATCATCAGTTAAATAAAAGCAAAAAAAAAAAAAAATATACATGCACAAACACACAAAAACCTAACCGAATAACATGAAAACAAGAGAAAAAAAATGTCATTTTTTATTTATCTCAAAAATGTGTTTGAAGTCATTTTTTTTCTTTACTTTTGTTTTGTTTTTTTTCTGTTTTGATTGTCGTTGTTGTTGTTGTTGTTGTTGTTGTCGTTGCCATTTCGTTAATGTTTCCACTTGAACGAAAAATGAATAGTGAAAAAAACATCTGTCATTTTCCATGTGTGTGTGTGTGTGGTTACGATACAATGTTACCAGAATTTATCAAACAGAAATTCTAAAATTGAATCAATCGTGTGTGTGTGTGTGTGTGTTTCGAGCAGAAATTTTTCTCACAAACCACACAAATACACAAGTTTAAATGGTTTTTAAAAATTAAAAAAAAAAAAGAAATTCCAAAAAAACGAGATAGATTTATATTTTTTTCTTTTCATGATGAAAAATTCAATTTAACACTCACCTTTTTTTCATCCAAGAAAATGTTGAATTAATTTTTGAACAACAAGCATAAAATTTTGAAATTTTTAATGGTTTGATGATATCAAAGTCAGTTATTTGAAAACAAGTGCACAAAGAAAAAAAATCAATTCTTTACATTGATGTATTGATGAAATTTTAAATTTTAAATTTTAAATCATTGATGATCAACAATGGTACGATGAACAAGAATTTTTAATATTCAATTTTTCGTCATTTTTTTTTATCACCAGTGTTGTATTTTTTTTTTTTTTTTTTGATCGTTGTTTTTGCTATTGCAGTCGTTGTTTTTTTTTATGGTTATTTATTTTAAAAATTAATGCTATTGCTTCATTAAGATTTAGGATTATGTGATATTTGTATGTTTGATGCACACATATTATTATGGCACATATCATAGATAGATAGATAGATAGATAGAGAGGAAGAATATTCTGTGCATGTTCCAAGATGATTTCAACACAATTTCATTCTATTATATATATATATGTTAAATGAAAATATTGCACCGTTTAAGTTTGTGTGTGTGTGTTTGGATGTATATTTCAAGTGCGTGTATCAGAAAAAAAAATCTGCTATTAAACATCAACATCATCATATAAACAATTCCAGCTGTTTGATTAATGAATGATGATGATTTGAGGATGATGATGATGATGATGATGATGATGAAATTGATTGAATCATCATAATCATTTTCAATTAATCAATCATGAATTTAATGGATAAAAATCATCAATTTGTTCATATATTTTTTTTTCGTTATGGCACTTATAATCATCATATATTAATATATACAATTTAATAAACAACCAAGATAAACATTTAACAAATTATAACAAATTGCATGAGTGATGAAAAATTTTAAAACAGCTGTAGAATTGAAAATTTAAGTCATAAAACATGTAGAATAGTTTCATATTTGCATTCGAATGGATGATGTGATGTTTGTGATCGAAGTTTCTTTCTGTGGTCGTCACACACACAAACCAAAACACACATATATTCATCAGGTTTTTTATTTCATTTTTTTTGTTTTGATTTACGAAAAAACGAAAAAAATACAGCAATTATGTTAAGCCATTAACGCCACAACCACAATCATCATCATCATCATTATCAACACCACCACCACCACAAAAAAAACAATCACAACAATAGAGAAGAAAGAATAAACAAATACGCCGACAAATTAAAAAAATTTCAATTGAAAAATTGAAATTTTATTTGATAGGCGAATACAAATGAAAATCGACACATTTATATATTGGAAATGGTCAATAGAAAGAATATAAATTGTTGTGTGTTGATGATGAATTGAGCATATATAGAGAAACCACATTAGATTGCAAATTGTATTTTTGTTTCATTTTTTTTGTTTTTGTTTTTTCATGATAAAAACAATATTTTGTTGTTGTTGTTGTTGTTTTTATTCTTTGATTTCATTCATAAACAATGTTACCGGTGATCATCGGTTTCAAATTATTATGTGTGATTTTTTTTTCTTAAATAGAAAAATACAAATCTCTTTTAATTAGTATTGATTAAATTTTTTTTCTAATTTTCTAAATTTGTTAATTATCATCATCATTGTTATTATATTATGTATAGACAGTGTTATAAATTAATTTTAAATTTGATCAATCAATCAATCTATATTATTATATATGTATACAATTTCATCATGTTTTTGATTGTAATGTGAATTTTTTTTATATATTTCCTGAAAATAAATATATTATATATGATTTTAACGATGTTTTAATTGTGAAATCATTTTACTATCTGGATTAAGTAGAATAATCAATGCGGCACCAGCTAATAGACCGAATGTAAGACCAAATCCAGCCCGTTTCAAACGCATTCGTGTCAATAATGAACCTATATATTCATTAATTTAGTAGATAGATTGAGAAAAAAAAGATGAATTTCAATTTTTTTGTTTTCATATTCAAATTCAATCATTTTACCTTGTACATTATCCATTGCTTTTGATCGGCTTATAGCACCATATAATGTACCGGTTGTTGTTGCCGCAATCATTGTATTAATATCATCATTTTCATCCTGTACAAAACTAAGGCCAACACCAATAGCTGAATATACCAAAGTGATACTGCCAAATGTATTTGCGATTGAGGCACCGTTACGTGTAATAAAATTTAACATATGACTACGTTTGATTGCAAAAGATTCGTTCATTTGAGCTACTTCTTTCAAGCCTATTTTTTTTTGGTTATTACAACAAAAAGAACAATTAATTTCATCAATTATAAAAAAAAGTCAAATCATATAACCTTTAAATGTTCCAATGGCACCACCGATCACAGCACCGGTCATAATTGAGCCACCAATTTGTGAAAAAGCCATTTCGAAACGTCCACGGCTTGGTTTGGTACCACCATCAGGAAATATAAATTCGGATGAAATCACATCGGGTGAACGAAAAATGGTTGGATCCACTTGTAAAAATGGTGATTGAAATGGACTTTTATTTGTGGATGAAATATTTAGCCCGTTCAACGAATTAATAGGATTATCCATGATCGAACTGTCCATATTATTTTTATCGGAAATTTTGAATTAATAAATTATATTACAAACCAAGCAAGGAAAATAAAAAAAAGAAATTCGAAGATTATGATAATCACATGGGCCGAACAAACCGTAAAATACACCGTTGGATTCGAGTGTTCAAACAAGTTTTGGTTATAATGTCACATTGGATTGGATTCTCACGCAATACACACACACACACACACGGCACGTATCAACAAAAGCATGGGCATGTTCATAAACAATGTGTCAATTTTTTATTAAAATTTATCAATTTTTTTTCCATTAAAGTAATTTTATTCATGAGAAAAAAGAAGAAAATCTCGAATAAAAAACTACTACTATTTGAATGAATTATATGACCCATAATTTAGTTTCCAAATGTGCAATATTTAATGCGAATATTCATGTTTTCGAAAATTGTATTGAATCCAAAACTTTTGCTCATGTCTATTTCGACTGATTGAGCTCATTGGATTTTGTTTGACTGAGTTTTGTTTATATTTTGAATTCTGTTTTGAAAACCGTAAAAAAAGATTCGATTTGCAATTCGTATCGATGGAGAAGCTTTTTGAAGAATCCACATCAATTAGCCGACAATTTTCAACATAATCAGCAACATATTCCAGAAAAATGTTCTCCCGGTTTCAATTCAATTTGACACGTAAGGATGACGATAAAAGTGATGTTCAAAAATTAATAACTATAAGTGACAATCAAAATAATGATGATAATGCGCTATCAAATCATCATGATGGACAATCCTGTGGTCATTCATGGACTGTCATATTGTTCATTTTTCTATTGATCACGTCTTTAATTGTATTTATCATTGATGGCTATTTCGAATTAGCAATTTTGTTAAAAATTACAAAAATTCTTTCATCACATTCATCATTAAATTATATTTGCAAAACATACATTTCTTATGGTTTTGTACATAAAGATAATGAAGCAATATTGGCTAATGTTACCGTTGAAGATATATTTCGTCATGAAACGGAATCGCCAGAGATTTTCTTGAAACTTCCAATATTGGATAAAGTGGTAAAAAATCCTGAAAAATGTTCCCATTATTCATGTTTTGATTTATATCGATGTGGTTTAATCAACTATAATCCATCTGATATACCTAAACAATTGAAAAACAATGTTCCACAAGAACGAATAAAAGTATTTGTCTATCCAAACTATAAATTTGTCGTGAAAAATGGCAATCAATCCATCAACATTTCTCAATCACTAGAATATCAACGAATTCTACGTGCTATTGTTTCTAGTCCATATTATACAAATAAACCAAATGAAGCTTGTCTATTTATTCCAAATGTTGATACATTGAATTTCGATGAAATTGATCGATCTATAATCGAGAATATTCTTTGGTCATTGCCTTATTTTCGGCAAACAAATGGTACTAACCATTTGATATTTGTGATGCTAAATCAGAAAGCCCATTCAAAACGGAATTGGTTACCGAATTTTCCTCAAATAATGATCGCCAGTGGAATGTTTACTGATCGTAACTATCGTCTAAATTTTGATATAGCCACACCTGTATATAGTTTATTTGCACAACTTTACGAATCATGGCCAAATTTGAAACAATATGAATTTGATGTTTCCAGATTAATGCATCGGAAACGTAAATGGACAATCGTTTCCACACAGATGAGTGTGATATCTAAACCGAATCAAAAATCATTGTTACGATTAGAGTCATTTTATTCTAATCGAATGATACTATTTGGATTTGATTGCTCAAATTCTGTTAAATTTATCAAATCAAACAAGTTACCATTTTGGTCATATCGAAATGAATCCAGCAAACATATCTTGCGTTCATATGAACGAACAATCGTTTGTAATAATGATCGTCAAATACATCAACGTTATCTAGATGTTTTACATGATGCTCAATATTGTCTAATAATGCCATCGACTGCCGTTTCCACTGGACCATTATTGGCCGATATATTGATGAGTGGTTGTATACCTGTAATTGTGGATGATAATTATGTTCTTCCATTTCAAGAACGTATTGATTGGACAACAATATCGTTGCGCATTCGTGAAAGATCATTGAATAATTTGTTAGAAATAATCGATTCACTTTCATCGACCGGTCGTTTACAACAATTACGGCTAAATGCATTGAACGTTTGGAATCGATTCTTTCGAAATATTGAAAACATTGCACTTACAACATTAGACATTATCAATGAACGAGTCTATCCAAAGCCACGAAATATTCAATCAACTTTTGATGATAAATTTCAAGAATTGACTCCATTATCATATGATTATTTTGCCAAAGGATTTAATTATATAAACCCAAAAAATTTAAATCTTATTTCTGATGGTTTCACTGCCGTCATACTTACATACAATCGTCTAAATAGTTTATTTCATGTTGTTTCATCAATCACTCGAGTTCCTAGTTGCCAAAAGATCTTAATTATTTGGAACAATCAAGCTGAACGACCACCATTGAATGATCAATGGAAACCATTTTCCATGCCCATACAAGTCATACAAACTAATAAGAATAAATTGAGCAATCGTTTTTTTCCATATGCATCTATCGAAACTGAAGCAATTTTTGCCATCGATGATGATATTACAATGTTGAATTCGGATGAAATTGAATTCTCCTATCAAACATGGCGTGAATTTCCCGATCGTATTGTTGGATTTCCATCACGATTACATTTATGGAATAATCTAACCAATTCTTGGACATATGATTCCGAATGGAAGAATAAAATTTCCTTAATATTGACTGGTGCTGCATTCTATCATCATTATTATAATTATCTTTATACATATGTAATGTCCGAAACTATTCGTAAATGGGTTGATGATAATATGAATTGTGAAGATATTGCCATGAATTTTCTCGTTTCAAACATTACTGGCAAAGCACCAATCAAAGTGACACCAAGAAAAAAATTCAAATGTCCCGAATGTTCAAAAGCAAATAGTTTATCTGCTGATGTTGTTCGCCATCTTCAATTACGTTCACGATGTATTGATCATTTCAGTAAAATCTATCGGATGATGCCATTAAAATCGGTCGAATTTCGGTAAGATTTTATAAATTATTTAAGATTTATTCAAACTTTAATTTTTATTTTATTTCCAATTACAGATCCGATCCTGTATTATTTCGTGATAACATTCCGGAAAAATTCAAACATTTTAGTTTGATTGGCAATTTATGAAAAAATGAAAAACTTTGATAAATCATCAATCAATCAAATAATAATCATTTATTGCGTGTGACAATAATAATTCTATATCTACTAATAATAATCATGTTGATAATGATAATCTCTAATGATCTCATTCTAATTTATTATAATAAAATCTAATCAATTCACTACCATCATCATCATTATTTTTATGTCTGTTTTTGTATGTATGTGTGTTTGTGTGTGGATGAGTGGTTTTGTTTTTTTTTTTGAAAATTATTGATTATAGATGCATTCGATTAGCACTTGAATTGATAATGGTCCTTTTAAATTATGAAAGAATATATCTTCAATTGATTCAATTGAAATTCGTTTCAATAATGGTAACATCATCAATATTTGTTCGAAACGATTTCCAAATTCTTTATGTCCACTAGTGCCATCTATGGCCATCGATCCATTATGATTTTGTAATTTAAATTTTCTATTCGTATAATTAATAAGCAAACATTGAGCTTGTTCTTGAAGTTTTAATAAATCTTGTTTATTAATCAAATGTCGACATTCTGTATGGAAAAAATTTCAAATGTGATATTAAATTTATTAAAATAATAATTAGAAATCATTTATTAGATTTACCTGGATTGAATAGGGCAATCGATTTTAGACAACCACATTCAGTACCATCTAATTGTAGTTGTTTGAATTGATCAATCACTTGTTTAATATTCTCTATATCTAACTTTATATTCAATTTTGAGCTAATTTTATGTTTCATTAACATTTGTATTGATGATGTTTGTTGTTTTTGATGATGATCGGCAATTGTTTGTGATTTATCATCAATAAAATCATCATCATCATCATCATCAACATCATAGACATGTTTATTGTTATGATGATTCGTATCCATTGGATCGATAAAATCAAAATGATCAATCAATGAATTCAGATATGTTTGAACGGTCTGTTCAAAATGATCGCCCGAGGTTACGGCATTCATTGTCATTGTCCAATGAGCCAGATTAATAATATACAATTCTTTCCATGAATCACGGAATAATGAACGCTAAATTGATGATCAAATTAGATTTGATTTGTTAAAAATTTTTAAATTATAATAAAATTATTACCTGATCATTAATATCTAGTCTTATGAATAATGGCATATTTTTGATCCATTGAATAGTCAATATTAATAATCGTAGATTGATTTCTTGTAATGAATTTAATTTATTATCGCTGAAAAGATTCATCATTAATGATGAATCAATTCCTCTGATGAATTGTTGCATCATTCCAGTTCCGAATTCGACTGCTGCTTTGTCAGCATTATTGTTATTGTTATTATTATTATTATTATTCCAAACAAATTTTTCCTCATTCTCATCATCATCATGTTGTGCTGCCGTTGTTGTAGTTTTGATCGAATGCTGATGATGATGATGATGATGATGATGATGATGACGTTTCTTATCATTTACACGTTTTGATGTTACATCTTTAGTGGAAAAATATACCACTTTGGATGGATGTGGTTTTGTTTGCGTTTTGTAACCATGATCATGATGTTGATGATGATGATGATGATGACATTGTTGATTATTATTGTGCACACCATCTTTACCATTCAAATCAAACAATGATCTTGATTGAAGACCATTTTGTACAATTCTGATTGCTTCATTACTGCTATTACTACTCGATGCTAATGAATGAATATCATTGAAAATGGAACCATTATTCTGTCCTTTGTTCATTGAACTTTCGTTTGTTGTTAATGGAGTTTTCATCAATAATAAATCAGCTGTTGGTGAATGTATAGTTGTCGCTGTTGTTGTTGTTGTTGTTGTTGTTGCTGCTGCTGTTGGTAATATGGAAATTGTTGGCGATGATGATGGTAATAGCGGTTTAGATGATTGATGTTGCTGCTGATGATAGATACATTTAGCAAAATTGATCATATCATTTAATATGGCTGGCGATGTTACCATCAATGAACATAGATTGATTGGATCGTTCACCATTGATTGATTGATATTCGATGGGGTTGTTGTTGTTGTTGTTTAAATGAAATTTTATACGATTCAATGAATCAATATATAGATTATTATTTACTGAATTCGAGCATGCGATTTCATCTTTGATTGGACTGTCTTTATTATTGGAATCACCATCAACAACGATTGTAGCATCACATTCATGTTGTTGTTGTTGTTGTTGTTGATGATGATGATGATTGTTATGGTGATTATTATTATTATTATGATTTTTATTACGCAATTTCCCATTGCTATTGCGAATTTTCTTTTCCGACAATCCAACATTCGTATTGTTAAATTCATGTTGATTCCAATTTAAATTCGATGAATTATTCATCATAGTCGGCAATTTTAATGAATTCATCATCAATTCTGTATCTATGAATAAATGAATATGATGAAAATCAATTAAGAATCATAATTGAGTCAAGTAATTAATTCAAGTGATTTTTTGAAAGAATTTAAAAATTAATTAAATTATAAAGATCATTATCATTAATGTTATTATTATTATTATTATTATTACCAGAATTAATTTTTAGTAAATCAAAATGATTATATGCTGCAAATGGATGAATAAGATTAGCGAATGCTGTCACTGATGATCCATCCAGTATTCCTAATGAATTCAATGTTGATGGATCGATTGACAGCTGGCAATTATTGGCTGCTATTGATGATGATGATGATGATGATGATGATGCCGTTGTTGTTGGCAATATAAACGATCCTGGATCGGGAGTCATTTCAGTCGATAATGAAAACTGTTGATGTTGTTGTTGTTGCTGTTGCTGTTGATGATGGTGATAATGTTGATGATTGACGGTTGTCAAGTTAGCCAGATTTAGAAACGATTTAACTGTAGCCGTTGTCTGTGTAATTGCTGTAGTATTATTTTCATTATTATTTGTATTACCTGGATGAAATATACGTGGACCGATATTTGTTGTTGTTGAAAATCGTTGATTATGTTTATTTAAATCAATATCATTGATTATAGAAGCAGATACGGTGCTATTACCGATACCAGCATTTAGTTCTGGCAAATGGCTACCGGTAATTGAATGTCGGTTAGCCATTCCTATTGTTGTTGTTGTTGTTGTTGTGGTTGACGTCGTAGTTGTTGTTATTGATGAAGATCGAATTTTTGTCGTGACTTGATTGTGATGATGATGATTATTATTATTATTATTATGATGATGATGATTATGATGATTATGATTATCATCGTTATTAGAACCACATTTATTTGTTTCTTTTAAAAATTTTGGTTTTCTAGGTCCACGTTCGTGTTGAACAGCTATTATATATTATTATATAAAAACAAATGGAACAAAGTAGAAAGGAAAAAAAATCAATGATCCAGAAAAATAAAAGACTGTAATGGAGAAAAATGAATGAATTGAATGAAAATCAATTAAACCACAATCGGTTTAGCTGATATAACCATTTTGAAAAAAAAATTTTGTTGGTTTTTTTTTGTTGCTGATGATTATCAATAATGTGACAGGTGTGATTTCAGCATTTTGAGCCAAAACAAAAAAAAACAAAAACACAGGACAATGAATTAATGATAAAATACCCACCATCTTTATTCATATTAGCTTCAAAACATTTACGTAATCTACAAGCACGACATTGATTTCGATGTGTTTTATCCACTGGACATTTTCCATGTTGATCGGCTTGTGCACGACACGTGTATACACGATTACGATGGATTGAACGTTTAAAAAATCCAGAACAACCATCACAACTATAGATACCATAATGTTTACCCGAACTTCGATCACCACATACAGCACATGGTATATCCAATAAACGTTCACCTTTTTTTTAAACCAAAAGAGAGATTTGATAGAAGGAATTAAGATAATTGATTTAATTACAAATCAAAAAAATTTGAATATAAAAAATACAAACGTTTTTCTGCCGGTCGCATTTTGTAATTTGTAATCTGATAAAGTCGGAAATTTTTTCAAAAAAAAAAATAGAAAAGTTAATCAAATTTCAACTGTATGATTTACAACGAATATGTTTTTTCGATAAATAATCATCAACTTTAAAACAAAACAAAAATAATGATAACTATCTAGATTGGTTGTGTTCATCACAAAAAAATTATCTGACCAAGAATAGTTAGAAAAAAAATTAGATCGACAAAGAAATAAATAAATATAAAAAAAAATGATTACAACGTCAAGGGACGGTCTACTAAAGAATCCGCCCTATGGAAATGGAATTCTGTATAGCATATTATATACACAATAATGAAATGATGATAGTAAGATTTTTTTGATTGTTTTTTTTTATTTTCTAGTAATGTCTACACACACACACACACACACACAACAAACATTCATGTATGCACAAACACACATTATATCAATGGTCTCAACCTTTTTTTTTGTCAAGCTTGTTGGTTGTATTTGTTCGAAAAAAAAGAGGTCATATATATATATATATATTCTAAACAATTATCAATATCGACGATAGAATGATTCGACTTGATGACTCTCTATGACAAAGTTTGGAGTCATCTCAGTATATATGTTTCCTTTAGTTTTTTTTTTACTCGAAATTCTTTATTATTCTTTGTATACATGTGCAATGTGGTGATTCTCGCTTCGATTGTCTTCGATTAACTTTTTTTTCCATTCAACGAATAATATATGGAATCTAGAGAAAAAAAGGCGAATAATAATATTAATAAAAATAAATATAAAATGGAGACCTGCCTTCTCAACCTCACGCATACCCGTTTTACGATATACGGTTAACAATATACAGTCATCAAGCCAAATGCAAAAAAAAAAAAAAAAATAGGAGGAGATATCATCTTTAGTTTACACTAGTTTCACATATGGAATCACACACACACACACACAAACATAGATCATGGAAAAATCTTTTTTTTTTTTTTGGCCGGGCCAATTGGCTTATTGGTTCCAGAGGCGGGACCTATACACAAATTCATATATATATATATGTACAGAATAATACCAAACTTTTTGGCGTCCTCTCTGTACTGACATGATACGATTTTACATGTATAGATTACGGATACTGTATGTATGAATGGATGTATTTCCAGGGAATATGGTGACCATTTTATTTTTCGTATGAATGTGCTGCATGAGAAATTTTTTTTTTTGATAATTCACGAATTTTTCACGAAATTCTATACTAGTTTTGAATTTTAAAAAAGTTCCTTCAAACTGGAACAAAATTATTGTCCCTTTTTTGGGGATTTCGGTTACGATTTCGATTTATAATTATTCAAATTAGACAACAAAAAAAAAAAACTTGGGCAAATTGTTGAAATAAAACTTTCGGACATATAACAATCATCAATTAGATTCTGTTCTTTTAATAATATTGACCAAAAAAAAAAAAAAAAACAAATGACCATCATACGATTGAAATTCTCACATACACACAGAATGTCCCCTTCAGTGTATATGTTTGCATTTGTAGAATTTTCTACAGTTTAGTTCTTATGGCTTGTCAAAAAGCGAGGTTGGAAAAAATTTTTTTTTTTTTTTCGTCATGATGAACATTATTAACCAAATGAATGGAAAAAAAAGCGTAACTTGCAAAAAAAATCATTTATATAAATGTGTGTGTATGTGTGTGTGTGTATGTGAATAAGGCCACATGGTATACACACGGAATTTTGTATTATACATCCTAGATTCAAAATGTATTCAGAAGAATGAAACAAATGATGCGTTCGATGATCCTATGTGATTCTGATTATGATGATGATGATGATGATGCTGTCATTGTTATTAGTATTTTGCCGACAATTTGGACCAAAGTGATGGATCATTCATTGTGAATAGGGTGTGTGATGAAAAAAAAATGAAACAAAATTCTATTTGGTTCATGTTGATGATGATCAAATGTGTTGTGTAGTCAAATTATAAGCCCAGTATTTGACCTGTTAATGTGAAAGATTTTTTTTTTTTTTTTTTTTTTGGCAGAGTGAGGAATGAATCGAAATTATTTTACGCTGTCATTTCACTTTTTTTTTTTTGCTATTCACAAAGAATTTGTTCAATTATTATTCCAATTATGATCCAATTTCAATTTCTAAATTCGTGATCAATTTGATCTGAATTATTATTTTTTTTCCTTTTCAATCATCATTTTATCATGACGATATTATGCTTTGTACACATCTCAATGATGATGATGATGATTATTATTATTGTCTGTGACTGACTAAATGGCTGATTGGCTAGTGGGCTGGCCTTTGTTTGTTTCAGACCAAAAAAAAAAAAACATGATCAAATTCCATCAAGAATCAAAAAGAAGAAGAAAAAAATTTTTTTTGCTACTAATAATTAGCATACATGGGAAAATGAACAGGGAAAAAAAAATGAAAAAATTCCAATTGTGCATACAACAAAAAATCTTGATGATGATGATGATGATGATGATGATGATGATGATGATTAATTTTTTTCCATTCAATCTTAATTCGAAATGTAAATAGTACACCATGTACTTTTTTTTCACATATGATCAACATTTGATTTTTTTTTTCTTTCGTCGTCTTCGTTGTTGTTGTTGTTGTTGTTGTTGTCGCTGTTTTTGTAAAGTGAATCACATGAAACAATGTTTCAAATTACAATCAATCTCCATATTCAAGAGTTTTTAAAATTAAATTAATAAGATGGCGATGATGATGATGATGATGATGATGATATTTTGTTTTGAAGAATCACACGAATTTCGACTTGAGCACGTTTTTTGTGTTTTTGGTTTGTTTGTTTTTTTTTCTATCAAGATTTACAGTAATACCAATGTTATTCGATATTTGTATCATTGGCAACAACTGCATTGTGATGATGTCATGGCTAGCCATCATAATTGATTGATTGAATAGTAAAACAAACAACAAATGATGAATCAAATTAATCAATATATATCAATCGTTTAAAAGATTTGATCGATGATGAAACAACAACAACAACAACAAAATGATCATCATTTACTATCGAGTGAATCAATGATGTTCAATGGAAATGAACGAACAAAAGAGCAGAAAAAAAACCTGATCCGATTCGATCCAATCAACCGAATCAATTTCATGATGACATCTCAATCAGGAATTTGTTCCGTTTTTTTTCCAGAGTAATGGAGCGCATTTCCCTCGAACAAATTTGATTGTTCACACACACACACACATACATACATACATACATACATACAAACTATGCTGGACATTGATAAAAGATAAGATTGCCGATTTCAAGCAGAAGAAAAAAAAAGAAAAAATCGATTTTCAAAATCGATATTCGATGTACACACAATTGATGGAAAAGTAAAAAAAAATCAACACCAAAATAATGATTTCGATTATTTTTCGAATGTTTTTCTGTTTTGTTTTGTTTTGTACCGTTTTTCATTCATCCTTTTGTAATTGATAATTGAAAACAAAAAATTTTTTTTTTCAATTTGCCCTTCAGAACCAATTTTGAAAAAGTTTTTTGTTCAATTTTTTTTTGTTATTTGTTTTTATTTTGGATCATCATCATCATTGTTTTTTGTATCATCAACTTTTTTTTGTTTTTTGTTTTTGTTTTGTTTTATTCATGTTTATGATGATGATCTAAAATAAAAAAATAAAAAAATCATAGGATCAAAACTTCCATATACCATATACTGCTACTTTTCTTTCCTTCTAGCATCAGAAAAAAAATATGACTGTAAATGGATGTTTTTTTGATCCTAATGTAAACTATATTCTGTATACACACACACACATATATATACAGATGGTTTGTTTCGTACAAAATTCTCGACATACGTACAATATCCAATCAACATCATCATGATGATGATCATCATCATCATCATCATGACTATGTTTGTGTAATATTATGTAATATTTGATGATGGATGGAAACTTTTCTTTCTTTCTTTCTTTTTTTTTTGCCTTCATATTTCATGCTAGAGAATGAGAGAAAATAAAAAAAATTTGTCCAATTTGGCCAAGTTAAGCTCCAATGAGCTTTACATTGAACTATGGCTAATATTTCAATGAAGGCAATTGATGTCAGTGAAGAATTTGTATTTCAAACATTAAATTTATTATCAATAACAACAACAACAACAACAACAAAACAACAACAACAACAACAACAACAACAAATGGTTAAGCCATGTCAAAAAAAAAATAGAAATTCAGATTATCGTATTTTTCTTTTTGATAATTCATTTTTCCTATTCCATATATACTGGTATATTGATAATTTTAGCATTTGATTGATTCATTTGGAGCCATATACCAGAACAAAAATTGTTGTTGTTGTTGTTGTTGTTCTATATTATTTGGATCTAAACAAAAAACATTTGCACATTTTACATTTCATTTATATATATGGATATAATACAATAATGAAAAACAAAAATGAATATTTGCAAGTTTCAAATAAAATAAGAATAATGATAATCAAAAGTAGCAGTAGTCAGCAGTCAGTTGCCAACAGCATTATCAGAAGGTATACAATAATAATAATAGCGTGTCGTGTCAAGCATCGTTTGTTTTTGTTTTCTTCTTTTTTCTTTGAGCGAAAAAAGAAAAAAAAACGTCAAGTGACTCGTTTTTGGTGAAATGTAAAATGGATGATGGGGTATTAGCGATCGAGAACGATCCTTGGAATAAAACAGCGTCAATGTGATGATGAATGAAAGAGGAAAATAAACGAGAAAGTAAACGAGAAAAAGAGAGAGAGAGAGCGGATCATGAGAATGTAACCAGGTGATGATGTTCGTTTTTTTCTCCTTTTTTGTTTAGGTTCAATTTTGTTGTTGTTGTTGTTGTGCTTGTTGTTGTTTTTTTTCCATCCCCCTTTTTCTCTTGTTTGTTTGTTTGTTCATCATCATCATCATCATCGTTTGTAATTCTACAAATATTTGAAAAAAATGGCAAACAACATTTTGTTCGAACATAGAATTATTCTCTCTCTCTCTCTCTCTCTTGACTGTTTTGTATATATATTTGTATTGAGAATCTTCCAAATCGAATCAATTATATTTCATGACATGATGATTCGTTTTTTTGATCCAAAATTTTCATCAATTTTCATTGTGTTTCTGAATGCAAATCTCATCAACGAATGTTTCATCTTCAATTATTATGGAATTTATATATATCATTTATTTATTACAAAAAAAGCTCAATAATAAAAAAACAAAAAAAAATTCAAATATAAATCTTATAAAACAATAACGCCATCCAGAATCGGATAACGAAACTACTCGGATACGGAATTCAGTGTTCATTTTACTTATTTTACTTATATAATTAATATAATAATAATAATAATATAATAATTATTAATTAATTAATTAATTAATAATAATAATAATAATCTCTTTATGACGCTTAACGATTTGTCGGTAACTGCAACTTTTACACTCGCCAAGTGCTTGCGCTGTGTACCTGCACTGTGTATTAACTTGGCATTTAATGCGACGAAGCTGAACCGGCCATCGTACTTATTATTAGTACAAACATAACTATTTAGTATGAGCTACTCAGTGTGTGTTTTTTTTTATATAATGAGAGCAAAACTCTCTAAAGTTTTATTATTCGAATAAAAAAAAGAAAAATTATAGAAGAGAATTAAATTACAAAAGGGGATGATGGGGGGTGGATAGAGTGTTCATTGTAAGTATATGCTAGGGGTGTGTGTGTGTGAAAATTTCAGGGAGCGATTAAATAAACGGAGGCGATAATGGATGTGTTCGCAAAATATGTGGAATGTTTTGTTTTTGACGAGAAGTTTAACCGTATCAAAAAGATTGAAGGAGTGAGGATTCTTTTTGTTTTGAAGTTAATTTTATCGTTCCAAATTTCAGAAGCATAAAGAAGGGAAGGAAGAAGAAAATTTTTGTACAGTATAATTCTTCTTGAATGAGTGAGACCGTATTTATGTGAAATGTGTAGCTTCAGAATATTGAGATATTTATAAAGTTGAGAAATTTTATCCTGAACGTGACGATTAAATTTCAAATTTTGGGTAAAATGTGTGTGTGTGTGTGTCTGAACATATATATCGAACAGTGGGGAAAACTTTTGAATGCCTCTGAACAGTTTGTCCAGCTTAAAAGTAGAAGCCGCTTCTAAAGAAACGCATTCTGTGGTATGTAGCATTGACAAAGCTTTTTATTAATTAAATCTTTTTTTTATAATTTGTGTTAATCAACAATGCGGCCACGCCTACGGGGTAACCGAATCGTAACATGTTTCTCCACCACCGCAGGTTTCAATCTCTGGATACCAATAATTTCCTCGCCATGTTGAGTTTCAACTTTGAACGTTCTCGTTCCTCGATCAATGACTTTAAACGGCCCGTTGTATGGTCTTTCCAGAGCTCTTGTATTTTCTTTACGTACCCATACATATTCTGCATTAGCCAAATCAGGTGGAAGATGCAAATTATCATCATTTGATGGTCTGGTTGCCATTACTAGATTCACCGGTCACCATTTCGTTTACATTACTAAATTGATCATTGTTATTAATTATCATTGCTGGATTATTATCAAGATTTTCTCTATTTTCATACAACATCGATGTCTGTTGTTGTTGTTGTTGATGATGATGATGATGATGATCATCAGTATCATAGACAATATCATTGTGATACAATTCGGCTGCATTCGATGGAATTGGAACACTATTAACGCAATATTGAATATTCATACATCTATTATCATCGTATGGATAATAGTAATCAGTATAATAAATCATCTGGTTCGAATCGTAAGGATTATATAAAGATGGCGGTTCATTCATTGGTTGTTGTTGTTGTTGCTCGATCTGATTGGCATAAATAAATTGGTATTATTTTCGATAGAATAGAAAGGATTGTATAATGCAAAATGTGGATCAGGATAATCCAATGTATTATCTACTCTTTAAGTTATTATTAATACAGTAACCATCCATTGTAGCGTATTCGATGACTACATTTATTCAACTGAACTCAAAACGCAACTCATCCCCACTCATCTGTTCGAATCGGGGTTAATCATTAATGACGTTACCACGCCACCACAATCTCTTATTTTATAAATATCATCGTCGCGAAGCGCCTGTTCCCGGGCTGGTTTTACTTAATTATCATAGATGGCTGGCAATGGATCAACATTAATATTATCATCATCGTCATCATCATTTGCTTGCAGTGGGACATCACGAACATTGTCATCTGCATTTGATGGAGCGACAAATGTTTCTCTATAGAGCAGTGTTTCCCAACCTTTTTTTCTTCGCGAACCCCTAATAAAAATCCGAGTACATACAAAGTTACCCTTTTGCATATCCCACGAACCCCCAGGGGTTCGCGAACCACCGGTATAGAGCATCATAGACAAGATGTAATAAAAAATTATATTATATAAATATAAGTTACATTACATTTACACTTACGGATGGTGCTCGCATAAATGATAATATAGATCATTATAATTTGTAATGAACAGTACCATGTACAGAACAATTGGCTTCAGTAAAGATGTGATTTCTTAATTTTTTGTAACTTATTACCAATTCATTGGTTGAATCAAATTTTCTTTTTTTGGCACCCTATGTTGTATATTTAGTGTAGAATGAAACGTATTATAGAACTTTATTGTTCAATAGTTCGATTTGTATTTTGTATTTAGTATTGTGTTTTTTGAAAATAAAAATGTATTCGATTATTTGCTATTATTATGAACACACAGTGTTTTTTTTGAGTTTGTGATTATTTTCAAACAAAACCTCTGAATTATAACACCCTACAATAAAAGATTATCAAAAAAAAATTTACAAAATTAGTTTGAATTACGTATTGAAGTAGTAACTTACTGATTTTAAATTTTCATTCAAACAATTAGCATGTTCAAGATCTAGTTTTATTTTCATTAAATAAAACTCTGGTATCTCGCTTTCCAAAATCGATAACATGTAAATTTGGATTCGTTTCCAAGCATCAATATCGACCTTTTTAGACAATAGTATAATTCAATACAACAAACAAATTTTTCATTCAATATTGCAACACACCTCGAAACAAATTGTCTTATCTTTCTCGGCAATTTCTCACATTCTTTTAATTAGCCGAGAATAAGCGGCAATCATTTGCTGTTGTAATTGGAACAACAATTCCAATTGCTGTTATTGCTGGAATTGTAATTGATGGTAATAATAATACTGGTGTGGATGGTGTTGATGATTACCAACATCAACATTATGTTGATGATGATGAGGATTTCTTTTTAGAACAGTAATAGAATCTTCCAACGAATTAACTGTACATTCCATCATACAGTTATTTTTGATATCAAAATGAGTATGAGAATTAGGAGAATAAATATAAAATTTTATCAATTAAATTTTTTAATTATTAAGATTTTAATAAACACATGTACACTCGACGACGGCTATTTTCACTCCCATCATTTTGATTGTTGTTTTTATTTTCCATTTTTCTTGGAATTGAAAAAATGATTAATTAATTTCAGGTATATTATATCAGGTATCAGGCAATAATTTATAACTTAACAAAAAAAAAAAAAAAAACAAAAACCAATCTACAAATATGATGATGATGATGATGAAATGAAATGATGAAATGAAAATGATGATTCGAATGATTCGAATTCAAATTCGGATACGGAATCATCAAAAATGATGATGATTAGATTAGAATTAGAATTGATAAAAACAATACTCACTTTTCAGTGCTCATAATCATCATATTACTCATATAATACTCATCATACAATGCACACAAAATGAAAATCACGTGTGTCAGTATCAAAATTCGAAAAATTCGAATTTGAACTCTTTCTATGTTCTATTGCAGTGTTTCCCAACCTTTTTTTCTTCGCGAACCAAAATAAAAATCCGAGTACATACAAAGTTACCCTTTTGCATATCCCACGAACCCCCAGGGGTTCGCGAACCACCGGTTGGGAATCACTGATCTATTGGATGCAAAAGCTGCAGCAACGTGTGCTGTGCTAGGACAGTGAAAAAAAGCTTTGTCAAAGCTACATACCACAGAATGCGTTTCTTTAGAAGCGACTTCTACTTCTGAGCTGGACGAACTGTTCAGCGGCATTCAAAAGTTTTCCCCACTGTTCGATATGTTCAGACACACACACACACACACAAACACTCTTTTCGACACAACCAAACATTTGATTAAAAACAACACATTTCACATTTTTTGTCAGCAAATACACACTCATGTTTTGACGCCTTTCTTAACAACGCTCCTGGTGAAAAATTGTTAAATAACAACAAACTATCCTCCCAAATTCCACACGCCCCCATCATCCATAAATTCATCATTTACATTCTTAAACACCCTCTTATCTTCCTTAATTAATTTGTATTCCGTTTTACTGACTATTTTCTCATTTTAATTGAATAATAAAATATAGAGAGTTATGCTCTTAAAAAAAAAAAAAAACACACACACAAACACACACTGAGTAGCTCATACTAAATAGTTATGTTTGTACTGAAAATAAGTAGGAATGGCCGGCTCAGATTCGCCGCATTAAATGCCAAGTTAATACACAGTGCAAGCACTTGGCGAGTGTAAAAGTTGCAGTTACCGACAAATCGTTAAGCGTCATAAAGAGATAAAATAAATAGACATAAAGAGATAGATAATAATTCATTACGTGCGTGGATGCTGAGCGTCGATGGCATTTGTTCTTTACTTTACCGCTGTACTACTGCTTTAATTTTTCTTGCTTGATACTTATATATAGCACTAATACCACTACTAGGTAATTCTAAAGTTCATATATATATATATGTACTACCAATCATACCACTAATACTTGAAAAATAAAATTCCCTACTTTCGTTGTACATTTCTTGCGCTCAAAATATCAGTAGTATGATGTAATAATTTTAAATTCTATCCAAAAGATGGCAATCTATGCAATGATCAAATAATACAAACAATGCTAGAGAATAGCAAAATCTCAAAATGCTCACACACACACACACTTTATCAATATTGATTCGGAATGAAAAACTAATTTTTTTTTTCATTTGTATGGTAGTGGTACATAGATCTGAATATTTCTTCTTCTTTTTTTTTGATTATAGACCCAACAATCAGGATCAAAGAAAATAAAAAAAAATTCGCAACTAAAGAAACACATTGAATCGCCTTTGGCTCCAATAAATAAAGCCATTGTTGTTGATGTTGATGTTTGTATGTATGTATGGTTTTTTTTTCTTGATATGTTGAATGATCCAATTGAAAAAGAGAAATAAACTCTCTCTATATACACTAACTTATAAAGTAAAGAAAGAAAGAAAGAAAAAAAAAAACGGACGAAAAAAATATTCGTTATTTTTAGTTCATATACATCCTTCATAATGATGATGATAATGGTAATAAGCGCAAAAGGAATATGTTAGCGTAACTCGTTTTACACATCATCATCATCAGCATTCATTGCTATCTGTACCAGAAACGGTGTTCATCAAACACATACACGCACACACACACACACACACACATCGTTTGGATCAACCACCACGCCACGCACTAAAGAAACAACAACAACAACCACAACAACAACCACAACAACAACAACAACAACAAGAACTAAGCAACTAGTTGCCATCCACATACATACATCAAACATTATCATCATTATCTTGAACAAGCTTTTTCTTATATTATTATTATTTTTTGATGATCTCTCAATGTTTTCTTCATTCCATGTTTGAATTACATACACAAAATACATTCTCTTTATACATCTCATCATTCTATCCCATGTTTCAATGGTCAAAATGTTGTTGTTGTTGTTTTTGTAGTAGTATCTCATCAAGCAAGCTATTGATATATTACTATATATCAAGATATTTTTTTTTTCTATGGTTCATTCGATCGTTCTTCATGAATTTTTTTTTGTGTTGTGATGTGTGTGTGTGTTTCCTCTCTTTTTCTTTTCTCATTAAAAACAACAACAACAACAACAACGACAACAGCAACAGCAACAGCAAAAAAAATGATCATTTCTTATTCTCTTCTTGAGACCGAGAAAAAAAAATCATTTTAACGTTCCTATTCATTTCGTTTTGTTGTTGTTGTTGGTAGTGTGACGCGCTTGTTGAAATTTTTTTTTTACCATTTTCCTTTAGTTTGTGAGTGCGCTAGTCCCTTCTCGCGCTTTCTTTGCATTTTTTCAACAACAACAACAACAACAACATCAACATTCGTACTTGTTTATTACCAAAAAAAAATATGTGAATTTTTGCTCTATTTCTATTTCCATTCAACAACAACAACAACAACATGATATTTTTTTTTTTGATATATATATCAATACATGAGAAAAAAAAGATGCTGAATTTTGATTGGTATGAAGAACCCCAACTCTTATACATCAATATCAATATATCGATATCGATGACGTGATTGATTGACCCTAATGAATCATTGATTTTTAATTTAATTTTTTTTTCGCTTGCTTGTTTGTTTGTTTTTAATGTTGATCCAATTATCCATGCAATCAATTAACGAAAAAATTTTTTTTTTCATCCATCTCTCATCTATGTTGATTTGTAAATGAAAAAAAAATTTCATTTCATCCATCATTAATTATCGGCCAAATGATTATGACAATTTTGTTTTCTTGTTTGTTTGTTTGTTTTTTTTTGTATTTCATCACATTACATTCCATTCCATGATCAAATTGTTAATCTTTTCAAACTTTTATCTTAATTTTTGTGCCAAAAATATATATATTTTTTTTATAAAAATTTTATTTTTATCAAAAAAAAACAACAACAACAACAAATTAATGTAGAAATTGATCCACATATCTTGGACAAATGTAATCATCATCATTATCATCACCACCGCCGATCAATGTGTGTGTGTGTGTGTGTGTGTGTGTGTGTGTGTGTGTGAAAAAATGTCATAAAAATCTAATGATTATATGGTGTTGTACGTGTGTTTGTTTGTTTGTTTTTTTTAAATTTTTTTTCTACAATATAACAACAACATGATGAATGAAAAACATCAAATCAAACTGATGAAATTCATCAATTTTCATACATAAACACATACACAGCATATATCCACACATATTATATATGATGAAATGTCACGCACGTTTTCATTATTATTTTCATCTTATTATTATTATTATCATCATTATCATTGCCGACATATGATAATAATTGGTGACATTGTTTTCTTTCATTATTATTTTCCATAGTTTGACAAATTTTATTTTATTTTTTTTTGCTTCGTTTTTTTTTCAATATATTCTTTTCATCATCATCATTGAATATAATACCTGGTTGGTGATGATGATGATGATGATAATGATGATGACAATATGACATCGAATCGCACGAAGACAACAAGACAACATTATCCTTATTTTGGATCATCATCATCATCATTGTCATTTTGATAATCTTTTAGTCACATCTTTTTTTTGTTGTTGTTGTTGTTATTCATCAATTCAGGTAATTTTAGCTCTTTTTTTTCATTATTATTATTATTGTTTTTATATGCAAAATGAAAATTATTTCTTTTTCTCTTTTGTTTTTTTTTTCTCACATTCTGTCTCTGTCTGGCTCTCATACTATTCTATTCTATTTCAATCCACAACTGTTTAAACTATTTTGACTTTGCTCTATATATTTTTCATTCTTTATTATATATTATCATCATCATATGTTTCAAAATTCTGTTTATGTTTTTATGTTGTTTTTTGATTTTGGGAAATTTTTTTTTCTCCCACAAAATGAAAATTCAATCTATTCAAATTTTTTCTGTGATCATCAGTTTGATTGGATGCCCATTATCGATTGCGTGATCGATTGTGATTGGATTTTTTTCTTTCTCTTTGTCTTTGTCTTTTGTTCTGTTTGTTTGTTTTCTACTCAAAATTTTCTTTCATCATCATAATCTATCATATAGTGGTTTTTAGGCGATGTGCTTTTTTTTTTTTTTTTTTTTGGTGGTTTGTCTCCAGGAAATAAACGAAAAAAAAATCGGATAGAATTTTTTTTTTCGTTTTTGTTATCATCATTTGAATCACCACCACCACCACCACCACCACCACGCAAAAGAAATGAAAAAAAAATCATTTATTCAACATATATATATATTGTTTCTCATTGTTACCATTATTTTATCGATTATTATTGTTTTTTTGCCTGATTCATATCTGGTATGTAATAATAAAACTAGATATAGATATAGAGATCGAAATTGTGATATACAGAAAGTCAAAAAAAACAACAACAACAACAACAACAACAATATCATAATTTTGTGCTAATCATCATCACGATAATAATCAAAAAAAAAAAAAAAAAAAATAGTAGCCAAATCTAGTAACCAACCGTGTGTTTGATAACGGCAATGAAACGCCTATTGAATTCAATAAATTCCTTTTCGATTATAACGATATATATTAATCATAATCTACTGCTATTTTTTTATATTAATGTGTGTGTTGTGTGTGTCATAAAATGAAAAATTTTCTTTTTTGTTCAAATGAAAAAAAAGTTTTGTTTTTGTGATTGAGAATTTGTCATTCTATTTCCATATTATATAACATGAAATTCTTTGGAAAAAAACAGTAATTTTTTTCAATCTGCTATAATAATATCAAATCAAGCCATCATTTCCATCAATTCATTCATTATTTTAATGGCCCTAATAGTAATAATAATTATCATTAAGCAATAAATTTGACTATTTCATTGTTATTCATCATCATCATCATCATCATTATTTTGTGTGTGTGTATATATGGTTTTTTTTGGAATATCGTTACTACAAATGTTGTTATTCAGAAATCAAAATCAAAATAAACAAAAAAAAAAAAAAAATTCTGAGAACAACATTGTTTTTGATGTGTGTGTGTGTGTGCTATATATATATAAATATAAAAAAATTGAATGTTTGTATGTATATTGTTTGTAATGTCATTGGTCTTGTATGTGAATTTTTATTTTCTGTTTCGTTATTTGTTTAGATAATTCTTGTTTTCAATTATCTTCATCAAACATACACACTCGCACACACACACACACACACACAGAGAGACATGTTGGTTTTATATACCGTTTGTTTATACAGTGAAACAAAACGAAATTAAACTTGAAAAAAATCTTTTGAATGTTTTGATTTACTGTTTTTTGTTTTTGTTTTTGTTTTTTTTGTGTTATTATATAAACATTCAAAAATAATAAGATTATGTGTTATGTTAATTCACACACACACACACACATTTAAGATTTTAGAATTTTTTTTTTTTTTTTGCTTTCTATTATTCAATATATAAACTGAATGAAAAGCAAGAAGATAAAAACAAAAATGTTCATCAGAAAATTCAGTCATAACAAAAATAATTTAGACTGTTGATGATGGATGTAGAACCATTCATCGCCATTAGAGACTGTGGTGGGTATGATGATGATAATAATAATAATAATAATGACGATTCACCGGAAACCAACAAATAGTGTGCATATGGTAACCAAATTTTTTTTTCGTTTTCTTTGCCATATCTATATTTATGATCCATGAAAAAGATTATTCCATTTTTACCAATGTAAAAATCTTTTTTTTTCAAAAATTTGTACTTATGATGTAAAACATTAGCGATGATGATGATGATGATGAAAAATAAAAGAATTCAACGAGTGCGAAACGAATCAATTTTTACTTTTAACCATATCGTCTTGTCGTTTATTTTTTTTCAGGTGGTTTTTTTTTTTTTGGTTGGTTTCTTTCCTGTCATTGAAGGTACGATACTTACATTTTCATATATGTAAGTTGTCCACACACACACACATACACACACAACAAAAATTGTCGGCCATATATTACCAATTTACATTGCTTTCATTAACATTTGAACAACAACAACAACAACAACTTCGATGAAAACAACTCTAGAAATTTAAAAAAAAATTGCCTAACCCTATGGATGCGTGATTTGTTTGTTTGTTTAGTTTAGTTTGTCTTCATTTTGTTATTACAACAAAAGATTGGCTAATAGCAAAAAATAAAATTCGTTTGTTTTTTGTTGGTTATGTGACGGTATTTAGCCAGAATTTTGTGTGTGTGTGTGTGTGTAGGTTGAAAAATCGTACACTTTCTATGTGTGTGTGTGTGTTTTATACGACGACAATCGTTGTTGTTGTTTTTGATGATAATTTAATCCAAAATAAATTACTAAATCCAAATTCAATTATTTTCGTTTTTTTATTTCATCCACATAACTTCATGTTTTTTTTATTTCTTCGTTTGATACATTAATTTTTGGTGGTGATTATATAAACACAAACAAAACAAAATTTGTTGTAATAATTATATATATATCGCATCTCGTTAATAAAGGTTTAACAAATTGAAAAAATCTTAATAACAGATTAATAACGTAAATGTGACAACAAATATAGTGACCATATTTTGTATTGTTTTTTTTCTTCTATCAAATCTAATTTGTTTTCTTTTTCTTTTTTCTTTTTCATTCATTCTAGGTTTTCATTCATAGCTGCTAAAAATTGGGAATTCTGTTGTCCAAAAAGAAATTGACTTTAAAAAAAAAAAAATTTCATTCCTGATCAACAACGACAAACAATTAAATTATTAATTAAATCAAAATGGGCTTATTACCGTTAGAATTTACTGATGGCCTAACGGATTCGCCATTTTTTCGTGAAACATTACAATCACATGAACGTGAATTAGATCTGACCAATACGGCCATAAAGCATTTGATAAAAGATATTAAAGATTTAATCGCTGCCGCTCGAAGTATGTCATAATTTTTTTTTGTTAGCCTAATTTATTTTTTATGTTCTTTTTTCTAACATGTTTTTTTTCCTTTTCAAAAATAAATAAATAAATATAAAATCTAGATTTAAGCCGAGCACAGCGTACATTATCTGATACATTGAATAATTTCAATTTCGAATGCATAGGCAATTCACAAACCGATGATGAAATGGTTATTGCTAATTCATTCAAAGATTTTGCCCGTCTTTTGTCCACTATTGAGGATGAACGTGATCGTTTACTTGAAAAAGCTGATGAAGCATTTCTTGAACCAATTGAACGATTTCGTCGTGATCAAATCGGTAGCGCAAAAGAGGCTAAAAAGAAATTTGAAAAAGAGACAGCAAAATATTGCCAAAATTTGGAACGTTACCTCAATCTATCTGTGAAGAAAAGTGAAACACAATTATGGGAAGCCGATGCCAATAATTCTATGGAACAGCAACATTTTTTCAAAGCAATGTCTGAATATGTTTTGAAATTACAAGAAGTGAATGAAAGGAAAAAATTTGAATTCGTTGAAACTGTGCTAAGTTTTATGCTCGGTTGGTTAACATTCTATCATCAAGGCCATGAAATTGCTACCGATTTTTATTCGGTGAAAATGGAATTACAGATGCGTTTACAGCGGACACGAAATAATTTCAACATGACACAAGAAGAAACTAAATCATTGCGTAAAAAAATGCTTGATAATCAAGAAAAAGTAAGCTTTCACTTGTTCAATAAATTAATCAATGATTGATTAATTATGAATTTTTCTTGATCATTCGATAGTTTCGTCAAAAATTTCAAGATTCATGTTCATCCAAAAAGACCTATTCCCGTCAAGGTTATCTATTTTTAATGGAAAAAAGTTTGTATCATTTTTTGAACAATAAGATATTCGGCCATCTTTCCGTTGTGGAGTGGCCGGTGACCAATGTGTTGATGATTTTTAATTTTGTTTTTTTATATATTTATAGAAGCTTTCACTACCTCATGGACTAAGCATTTTTGCAAATTTAATAAACAAACAAAACGTTTGAAAATGATACAATATACTCAAACTACTGGGAAAATTGTATCTACAGACGAGATTACCATAAAAGAATGTATTAAAAGAAATCAGGATACCATTGATAGACGTTTCTGTTTTGATATTGTGGCACAACCAGAAATATTGAATTCTAATCATCATCATCATCACCATTCTGGTCATAATCATTCTGCAACAACAAATGGAGGAGGTAGTAATAGTGGCAGTGTTGGTAATAATATGGCTATCCAAAAACATTCCAATAATTCACAGAATACGAATTCATCCTCAAATGATGGTTCGGCTCAAGTTGTCATTTATACATTTCAGGCCATATCTGAAGAAGATTACAAGTATTGGCTTGAAACATTGAATGCTCGTGATCCATATCCGACGAATTTAAGTGGTCAAAAATCGGGAAAACAAAATTCTAATAAAATTAATAGTGATAATTTGAAAAACACTATTGATAGTCATCTAAATGAAACGTATCAATTGGATGCTGAAGGTTATTGGTTTGTTAAGAAATGTATTCGAACAATCGAATCTCATGGCCTAGATCAAAAAGGAATTTATCGAATGGTTGGTGTAGCTAGCCGTGTTCGTACATTGATGGATATGTTTGCACAATCTAAGTCAATCAATCAGAATCATGAAGATCATGAACATGATATTGATCGTACAGATTTATTACCAAATTTTAATGTCGATTCAGAGGATTTTGAAACAAAAACATTGACCAGTGCTTTGAAAAGCTATCTTCGGAATTTAGCCGAACCAATTATGACATTTCAATTACATCATTTATTCATAACAGCTGCGAGTATGTATTGTTTTTATGCTTTTTATTATTTCGAATCCAATCTTTATAAATTTTATTCGTTCTTTCTTTATTAGAATTGGAAAATAGAGCTTTACGAATCGAAAAGATTCATCAACTTGTGCATCGTTTGCCACCGATCAATTTTAAAGTTCTTAAAATTCTTATTGAACATCTTCAAAAGTATGTATTGTTTATCTAAGCTTTGATAATCGAATTTTTTTTTATCCTTAATAGAGTTGCCAAATTACATGACAAGAATCTGATGACTTCATCCAATCTTGGTGTTTGTTTTGGTCCAACATTACTACGTACAGCAGAAGAATCTGTTGCTGCAATTATGGATATCAAATTTGTCAATGTTATTGCCGAATTATTGATTGAAAACTATGAGAAGGTATTTTTTATAATAATAAGTAGTAATCATCCACACACTTATCATCTGATTTTATTTTACAGTTTTTTCTGACTAAACCAACACAAATGGAATTAGAACAAGTCCAACCAATTACCAATTATCTAACTTCAACAGTTAATCAGAATTATATGAATAGTCAGATACAACAACGTCCGTTGCCAAACGTACCAATTAGCCAACAACAACAACAACAGCAACATTATGCCAAAACAATCTATGAAACTCCAATGTCTACGATGAATAATCGTTTATTACCGCCATCGTTGAACCAACAGCAATCACCAACGAATATATGTCGAAGCAACAGTCAAGATCAATTACATACAGCAAATATACAAACAAAATCTAGAGCTTTGTATTGTAATAATCAGAATGCATTGAATTCTGTTGGCCAAAATATGAATGGATCTTCAACGGCCATGTTACATGCACAACATTCAAAACAGTATTCAATCAATTATTCTACTTATCCACATTATCAAATTCAACCACAACAACAACAACAACAACAGCAACTTAATTGTAATAATACGGCATCACGCCGTGCACTCCATCTTTCTTTATCATCATCATCACCGTCACCATCATTAGGATCGACGACACTTTCAACAATGGCCAATACACTACAGCAACAACAACAGCAACACTTGTATTCACAGCCACATCAACAACAACAACAACAACAGCAGCAGCATCAAATGTTTTATAAACAAATTCCGGCCAATTCTATATATGGACAGATTCGAACCAATTCGAATCATTTATTACAACCTTCAATTTCTTATCAAAATCTTCATTATAATAATGAATTGTCCGCCGCTTTTTCAGGTGATGCAATGCAGAAAAAAAGTCCGACTGGACCGAATTCAAATATAATCTATAATCGACCAATGACTAGTATTGGTATAATGCCACCAAATTCAAATTATGCAAGTCTCCTTCGTTCAGATAGTAATGAAACGGGATCAAAATTAGAATCAATCAGTAAAAATAACTATAGTCCAATAACAAATGAATCGATAGCTTTGCAAAGTGGTTTTATATCAATACCAAATACACAATCAATGCAACAACATTCTTCAAGACCGGTAAATTTTTCATCATCATCATCGACGTCATTACCATCGACACCCGAACATTCACAATTCCCATATAAATTGCCACCGGCTACAATGATTAAATCGGCAACAACGACATCGGCAATGAATAGAAATCCAATTGTCGATCAAACTGGTTCGACAACTGCCGATCCAATTATTGAATTATATGGCAGTAGTGCAGGTGGTGGCAGTGTTGTGAATCATCCACATCATCAACAGCAGTTTAATCATCAACAACAACAACAACAACAGCAGCAACCGCCCGTTAGCAAACCGATATATGCAAGTATTTCCAGTCCATCATCACCACCACAATCATCGATTGGTAGAACGGTACGAACACGTTATGTTTGTATTGGTGGTACCGATTCTGAACTATCATTTCAACCAAACATGATCATTACAAATGGTATGAGCATTGTTGACAAATTTAAACTTTCAACTTTCAATTCAATCGTTTTTTTAATTTATTCTTTTTCATTAATGATTTTTTTTTTTTTTTTGCTTTCATTTCATCAACACATCAGTTCGACCATCACGGGAACCAGGCTGGCTTGAGGGCACATTGAATGGAAAAACTGGTCTCATACCACTCAATTATGTTGAATATATTGATTGAGTTTGTTATTCTTCTGAAATGCCGTTACGATGAAGAAAATGAAAAAAAAAAAAAAAAAATAGATCGTCTATCAAAATCAATTCAGTCTATTGGATTCTATTTTGAATTGTATTACATAGCATATATTTCACATACTTACGATGAAAACATTGTGAAAGAATTTCATTGGAAAAAAAACCGGAAAATCAGTGCATTGATTTTTTGAATTTTGATTCCCCTTTCTTGACAATAATGGTAGCCAATCACACACACACACACACACATTTTTCATTTTACTTGTATTTCTCTTTCTTTCTTCTTTCACAATTTTGTTATTATTGAAATATTTGCCCTCTAAATTGACTTTTGATGTTGTCCATTCCATTTAATAATAAATATATAAATTATGCACATCACATCATACAGATAAAAAAAGGGGGGCACATACTTTTCCGATATGTGTAATAATCATTAATAATGATGATGATGATGATGATGGTAGCGATAATGATGATGATAAACATTTTTATTTTCACATGTTCCATTATCATATATCCATATATATATTTATTTGGATCAAATTTTTTTTTCTTTGTTCTTGTCATTGTATTTTTTTTTTACCGCCATATTTTTTTCTCTCCTGATTCTCTACAGTTGTTGTTGCTTCATATCGATTGTCTCATATGATTTTTTGGCTATCCGATGACAAACACACACACACACAAACACACTTATTACACAGCTACACTATATATACATTTTAAGCATCAAAGAGTGAATATAATATACCATTTTGTTTTGCTAAAAATTTTCTTCATATAAAAAAAATTGTTGATTTTTCAGTTTTTTTTTCTTTTGTTTGTTGAAAAAAAAAATTTCATTGTGAAACTTGAATTATATATATGATGATTTGAATTTGAAGAACACATGCATACACACACACATATGAAAATACACGAAAAACAGTTATTGGTCGATATCGACCGATCAAGTAATCATAATCAAATTGCGTATGTTTGTCTGATCTCATGACATTGATTGTTTTCTTATCAATTTTTTTTTCTCTACATTACCATTTTCAATTATTTTTGCAAAAAAAAAACGAAGCTCTTTTTTATAACACACACACACACACACACATTCTATTCTCTTTGATCATTGAAACTATTCAATCATTCATTTCATATGTGTCTGTTTAATTTATTTATCCGAAAATGAAAAGTGATTTTTCTCCACCCGTTAACAAACACACACATACACATACACACACACACACTAAGTCAGTGAAAAATTTAAAAAATTCATCAATGTCCACATTATTATTTTGGAATTGATTTGCCAAATATGAAACCAAATAAAAATATTTTCTATAATGTATGAAATGAATATTGAACCCCAAAAAAATGGTCAAATTCTTTCATATTCAAAGTTTGTATCCGATATATTCAATTATTCCATTCGATTCAATAAATTATTCCAATCGGATTTGTTGTTTTTGTTTATTTTGATTTTTTTCAATCACCTTTTTTTTCATTCATATAATAACAGAAAAAAAGTGCAATATTTGTATTTGAGTTTTTAATCAATAATCATTAATCGATAAAGTATCAATAATAATAATAATAATAATGATAATATTCATTAATCAATCATAAATAGATCCATAATGAATTCTTTGGATATTTTTGCTGTGTGTATGTGCGTGTGTGCTTGAATGAACTTCCTGGTACGAATGTGTTCATAATAATGATAATAATTATAAAGAATGTAGAGAATTTTTTTTTTTGAATGAACAAGAAAAAAAATTAAACAAACAAGATAACAGACAAAAAAAATGACTACATTGAAAAAAAATTAATCAATCAATCAATCAATCAATCGATTGATCGATAAAATAATTGATCAATCAAATTGACAACAAGAAGGGAGTGAAGCAAAAATAAAAACCGGAATAAACAAAGAATAACAACAACAACAACAAAAAAAATGAAACTGAATATTTTTGATGAATTCTGACAAATAAAAAAAAAATTCTTTGTTTAATTTTTTTCCAGCTCTTGTTAAATTGTTTTTCTACATTTTTTTTATATTCATTTTCTACATTGATATTTAGAATTCATTATTTTTTTTATGGTGAGTGAAAGAGATACGAATATATAAGAATATATAGAATTGAAAATGAAGCTAATATTAAGTCATTATCAAGCCAACGGATCGGATATTTATTGTGCCATTAGAATAGGCTAAATAATCACGTTAAACTACATATAAAGTTTTGTTATATTTTTTTTTCGTTCAAAATTAAATCTGTTCTGTTTGTTTTTTTTTCGTCGACAAATGAAAACAAAAAGCAAAAAAAAATTGGATTCTTGAATGTGCCTGTTTGAATAGTAGTAGTAGTAGTAGTAATAGTGTGTTTATCATATCATCATATAAATATTTATGTAATAGTATTTGGCGTTTATATGTGTGTGTGTGTGTTTAATGTGTTTTTTAGTGTGTCACAAAAAAATCATAACAAATAATTAATCAATCATGAAATAAAATTGATGATGATGATGAAAAGTAATGTAATGAAGTAATATTCATCATTTTTTTTTTAATTTTAGAATTCTGCTGGTGTCGCTGTTGACCATATATATATATATATTTGTTGGCTATGAATCGAAGAAACACTACACAGACAGAATGATAATATCAAGAAAAAAAAATGATCAAATCGTATCGAATTTCAATGAATAAGAATATAGCAAGAAAAAAAACAAGAAACAAATGAGTGATAAAGAGAGAGAGAATGAAAAAATGAATTACAATTTCAACTTTATGTTTTTCATAACAGTTTCAATTATTAACGAACAAACGAACAAACAAACAATGAAATAAAATTTAGGCCACAACGTATGCTATGCTTTTTTTTTCTTCATCAGTAGTTGATGTTGCCGTTTTTGTATTTATATTTATAGTTATTTATAATAATAATGATAATGTCGAGTACGTTTGCTTGTGTGTGTGTGTGTGTGTATAGTAGGTATTTTCCCGGTTTTTTGTTTGTTTGTTTTAATATTCGTCATCATCAAAGATTCAATTCGTTTGTTTTGTTCGTAAATGGATAGCACACAAATTCACAATGATAATCAATGTTGATGTTTTTTTTTGTCTTCTTCACTCCATTTTCATTTTTATAATCATCATCGTGGAATTTAATGTGATGTTTGATGTTGTTGTCATTCTTGTTGTTGTTGTTGTTGTTAATGCTGTTGTTTGTAGTCATTATGGTTGATAGCTATTGTTTAGTTGATTAGCTGGTTAGTTGATTTATTTTGGTTCACTTTGTGGCAATTCATTTAAGAGCTGTCGCTTGATGTACATGATGTGATGATTTTTTTGATGTATAACCGGGTTGATTTTTTTTTTTTTGGTTTAATTTATAAATGTTTTTTTTTTCGTATGAGAATTTGTAATTTATTCAAAACCCAAGAGCAGAATAAAAAGTAAAGGATAGTATTATATAAGAATGAAGAAGAATAATTGAATGGATGATGGAAACAAATGATACAATCAAATAATTGATGAAACAATACTCGATTTTGTCTCTTTTTTTTTTTTTTTTTTTTTTGGATGCTGTATTTCATTTGATTTTTATCGTGAATCTCTGAAAATATTAAAATGTGATATGTTGATATTAATACATCAATAAGAGATTTTTGAATATATTGGACATGATTTTTATGTACTCACTTGGTCAATGATAGACGTCTCATTCGAGGTATATCCTATTCAATGGAAAAAAAAGAATTAGAATCATTTTTTTTTCTTTGAATCAAGAATTTTCAATAACTCACATATTCTTCCATGGAAAGTGTGCGACGTCTTCCAATGGCAGCTAGGCTTGATTTGCTAGGCGGTGTATCGCCTTTGATATAATAAAGATCAGAGATTTTTACAATAAATATCATATAACAATCATTGTTAAATTTTTCCTTACCTCCATGTGTGATTCCTGGCAGCTGTAATGAAGTCAGAAATCCTAGCCCTTTGACAAACAAAAGAAGACTTTGTGCAAATTTCTCCGGGCATTGACTATTTTTTTTTTTTTTTTGAACATTTAAAAAGTAAAAGGTCAATGATGATAAGAAAATTGGATATATAAATAGAAGTGAATAATATAAATTGCATAATATTGAATAATTGATTATGTTTTTTTTCATTCATATGATCTTTTGGAAATTTTGTTCAATAAATAAATGATAATAATGCTTACCTGACAACATCTACACAATTATCCACCTTGAGTAATGATGTTTTCTGTTTGTCGCATTTGGTATAAATATGTTCAACACCAGCTGCAAATGGTGATTTACTACCAGTAACCAATAATATATCCAAATTGCCCAGATCAACAATTTCTTTACGATTCATATATGCAGACATGAATCTATGTAGATTGGTCGAATTGATCTTCTTAATATGGCTACTGTAATTATCGACCAAATATTTGAGACCATCACCGGCAGTATTACCAAGCTATTTATTTTTTGTTTGTTTTTTTTTTGTTTCAACATGGATTTTTTTCCCCATTTATAATTATTGTTGTTGTTGTTGTTGTTGAACCATTATCATCATTGTTTGCAATTATATAATGTATATAAAATGAAAGACAAATAACAAGATAATAAATGAAAAAAAGAAGATTAACGTCATTATTATTATTATTATAGTTAATTTAGACCACAAAATGTCTATTATTATTATGATTATTATATGGTAAAGAATTAAGTGTTATCGAGAAATAACAAAGATTAAAAAAAAATATTCCGGAAAATGATTGTTCTCTTTCATACAGAGATAGAGAGACAAGTAAACAAATAAAAAGAAATTCACAGAATAAAAAAAACAAAAACAAAAGAATGAAAGATAATAATAATGAAACGAAACGTAATGATGATGATGATGATTGTAATGATGAAAACTAATGCAACTATATGAAAGAAGGTGACTAACAGAGAATAAATCTGATTATCAAAAAAAAAAAAAAAAAACAAAAAGAATATTCTCAATCAAAAACAAAACTAAACTAAATGATTCTCAGTATATATATATGTGTGCTCATTGTTGATGATTAAATCAACAGAATGAAATTCATTTCACATAAACAATAAAGAATTATGATTACCTTGTGCATGGTCACAATTTCTTCAGGACATAATTGCTGTGAGCTTCGACGTTTGGAAAAGAATTTCTCCTTTATAGATTCTAAGAATCCAACGCCCAATGAAACGAGGTTGATAAGTACCAAGCCAAGTATACGTTCAGGATGAGCAAGTCCAAAACGGGCCAATATATTGGCACCGGCACCATCACCGATGCCAACACACAATTGTATTTTCAATTCATCGAGCACTTTAAGAAGCACTTCTTCGCCTTTTTTTTGTCCATATTACAATAAAAAAAAATAGTATATATGGATTATGCCAATACAAAGTAAACAACGAAAACGATATAACAATATTATTATTATTAACAAAACATTCCACGTCCAAAATGATAATCGAAAAAAAATATATAGTGAGAATAAATTGAAAATACAAAAGAAATGAATGAATGATTAGAAAATACGGAATACATGAATAAAAACGGAAATTAAACTCAACACTGAACACTACATAACCAGAAAAACGGAAATTCAAAATAGTATAGGATTTAACAACAACAACAACAGCAGCAACAACAACAACAACAACAACATATTTTCGATTGAATGATTCAATCTTTTACTTTTGAGAATTATATTTCTCACATACATATATTATTCATAGTCAAATACACTTACCTATTTGTTGAATAGTGGGAAAATGTTCCAAATCTTTTGCATCATCTTCTTGTCCCGGTACATCAACATGAATGAACACAGAACGCATACGAATTTCCGATACTTGATGATTTGTTTCACAATATGATAATATAATAAATATTATAATGTTTCCATGAAAAAATAAGAAAATTTAAGAAAAAATAATAACAAACACAATAATGATTAGAATTACAAACAAACATTTCATATACATTCATATCATTCGTTATTCGTTTGTTTTCATTTTTGTATATATTATATATAAATAGAATCTAAACATGTTAAAATTCCTGAATTTTAATTATCATATAAACATTCTAACATTCTAACAGGAAATTTTTTTCGCAAACTTTTTGTTTTTGTTTTGGTGAAAAAATGACTGAATGAATGAATGAATGAAAAAGTGCAATAAAACAACAACAACAAAAATCAACTTACGGCAATCAAGATCGACAAAATCTTTCATTGATCTATGAATATTGATATTATGAACAAAAAAAACACACACACAAATTGAATGTGATGAATGAATAATTTTAATAACACAAATGTAACCAACCTGTGATTGAATCCGATATCGTGTACAGTCAAAAAAATTGCCTTCTTTTCGTCCAATTCACCTGTGTGTAATTTAAGAAAAAAAAGAAGATAATAATTAGATATAATAAGTTCAAACAGGGAAAAAAATCAATTCATTTCAATCAAAATATGAAATTTGTGTCCTCATGCCTAGATCAAAATCGAGATAGAGATTCTTTTCAATCAAAATTTTACATTTCTATGAAGTACTATGGTAAAACTATATATATCCATTATATAATGCTACCACCATCATATTCTGGAATTAATGGGATTTCAATGTTATGATTTTAATTAGATTTTTTTTTTGTCGCCGATTCTTTTCTTTCTTCTATACAATCGGTTTCATATGGCACTTTATATTCGTGTGTGTGTGTGTGTGTACGCCTACGCAGATTTACAATATCAAAGTCAAGTCAGAAAAGTCATTGATTCCGAAAATTTGATCTCTATTTTTTTTTTAATCTGATTCCTTGAAAATAAAATAAAAAAATTCATGATAATTATGACAGTGTCAGGCGATTTTCTTTCACTCTTATTCCTTTCAAATGATTAAAATAATCACCAATTTGATTCAAATAATCATGATGATAACAATATGATGATCATCATTTCAAATGTATATATATAACATTTAATGCGATAATCTAATTGCATCATGTATGATAATGAAACAGGAAAAAAAGTTTTTTCCAGCACTCAAACTAATCATTTCACACACACACACACAGACCACAATTAATTCTTTTATATAATGACAATTCTTTTTTTTTCTTCTACTCAATCTTTGATCTATATATTTTTCACATCGAATCAACATTTTTCATTCAAGCATATTGTTGTTGTTGTTGTTGTTGTTGTTGTTATTTTTATCATCATCATCATCATTATCATTAATATCAAAAATAGCTGAATAGAATGGCCACATAGTTGTATTTTTTTTTTTTTTTTGTTTGTTCGTTCAATCTCTCTATGTGAGTACTATTTTCATGATAATCATCATCATCATCATCATCATCATTAACAGAATAATTAGTCCAGATGGTTCTAGAAAATTTTTTTTCCATGTGTGTGTGTGTGTGTGTTTGTGAGTATAAATATTGATGTATATTAGAATGAATCACTTTGAAAATAATTCTTGCTCTCTCTCTCTCTATATTTTCTCCCACATTTTTTTGTGGTGATAATATTGATTTCAGTAGATTATTTGTTAATGCACCGTATTCTTTTTGTTTTGTTTTTTTTGTTTGTTTGTGTGTGTGAGTGCGTTTTAGTGATTGAATCTATCTAATATCTAATGCAATATTTGCACGCGATTTTTTTTCATCTTTTTTCTTTCGATCTTTTTTTTCTTGTTGCTGATAGATTATTATATAAACATTATCAAGAATTTCTTTTTGGCAATATCTTCATTTTTACTCATTGCATAAATTCTATTTATTCTATTCAGCTTTTTTTTATTATTATTACTGAATGTATGAGATTCTTTTGCAATTCGACAAATACACACACACACACACACAAATGTTCACACAATTAAATTAGAGAGATAGTGTTGCAAATAAAAAAATTATAGATGCATCCATGATTCAGATTCATACATGTGCACTAGTTGTAATTGAATTTCATAAACATAATTTTTTTTTTTTTTTTTTTGTTATATACCTTGAATATGGACTTGAACATCACCAATCTGATCATTTACTTTGAATGAAAGAGTTTTTGTTGGCACTGGTATTGGTGGATGTGCACTGGTTGTAGGTGAATTTGTCGATTGTGCACCGACAGCTGCGGCTGCTGCAGCACATGCTTCAGCCAAAATTTTTGATGAATCCATTTCTTTATTTTCTTCCAATGTTGTTAAATTATTGGCCATTGTAATGTTTTTCAAAAAAAAAAAAAAATTTTATTTTTTTGGAGAGGGGAAGCAGGGTGGATATGGGTGGGTGGATGAATGGTTGCGGGAAAAAAAACTGTTTGAAAGAAAAATGACTGTTGTTGTTGTTGTTGTTCAATTTTCAGTACAGGAAGAACGTTTGTTGTTTACATCGACGACGGATTTGAATATTATCGGATATGAAAAAAAATAACACTAGTCATTAAGGTCACTATTAGTTATTTTATTGTTGATGATGAAAGATGGACAATTCTTTTTAAAACAAAAATTCTTAAATTGTTTTTAATTGCTAAATTCACAACGACCACCAATAATGCAATGATTCGGATGATGGCTATGTTTGTTGTATCATCAGAAAAATGTCAAATATATATTATTATTGTGAAATCGGGAAACAAACAAACCAATATGGATGGTAAACAAAATGTTATGTGAGAAAAAAAAGCACACACAAACACACAAAAACACAAATATGAATCTTTTTATGTTTTTTGTTGTTGCCGCCGTTGTCGTTGTCGTCTTCTGTTATCCAATCATGTGATGATTGTTTTCAACAAACAAATAGCGAAAAATAAAATGGATGATGAATGAATGCGAATCGCATATACACACACACACACACACATACGAATCGTCAAAAGTGTTCAATGATATATATGAAAAATAAAGTACGTGATTTTATAATAATAATAATAATTATGGTGGTGATGTTTGATTCAAAATTCGCATTTTTTTTTTGCTTGTCCTTGTAGTCGTCGTCGTCGTCGTTGTTGTTGTTGTTGTTTTTATATTTTTGTTGCAGTTTTGCAGAAAAACCAGAAAAAAAACTACGAATGAATGAATATTATAATGAATGTGTGTGTGTATTTATAATAAAGTAAACACGAATTTAAAATATCCAAACGCACCACACACACACACACACAACACCGCCACAAGTGATGAATTGACATGTACGCACACTCTACACACACACAGAGAGTGAAAGAGAAAATAGCGTAAAAATAATAAAATCATCAACAACAACAACAACAATAATAATAATAAAAATAACGAGAGAAAAAAATTTCAATTCACAACAACAATCATAATATGTACATACAAACAAGTTTTTTTTTCTGTTGATGATTATATTGTGATGTAAAATCCATCTATACACAAACAACAGACAGACAAACACAGACAGAAAAACACAAACAACGAATACAAAATGATTGGAATCTGCGAAAAAAAAAATTAGAAAAGAAAGCAAAGTTGAATAATGAACCAAATGAATTTGTTTTTCTTGTTGTTGTTGTTTTTTTTTCAATGTTATCAAATTATTATATATTGTAGTTTGTTAAGGAGATTTTGTTGTCAGAATAATAATGATGATGATGATGATGTTGTTTCTTTAGTAGTCGATGATCAATTGGCACCACTGTATTATTATTATTTTTTTTTTTCATCACATCAACCCAATGAATGAATATCAGCCAATATCTTCTTCTGTTGATTGTATGGTTGGCTGGCAAAAAAAAAAAAAATGAAAAGAAATTCTTTGGTAAATTATATTTTATATATATGGAAAAAGAGAAAAAAAAATTTTTTTTTTTTTCGTAAAGGCCAAAGTGAAAATATTCTGCGAAAAGAAATGAATTTACAATTTTGATCCAATGAATTTTTGACGATGATATTGCGAATGATGATTCAATGTTATATGACATTCATCCACTATGTATGATGAAAAAAAATTCTATGCAAAAAAAAAGAAGAGAATATTGTTCATTCTCGCGCTACTTATTCATTTCTTATTTTATTTTATAAAAAAATTTTTCCTTTTTCTTGTGATGATTCTCTTGATATTTTCTTGATGTGATGATATTTGGTTGGTTGATATGTGCGCGTGTAATAGATCAATGGATTTTTTTTTTTTTTTTGTTACTTGGATTCACACAACTACCAATACCAATACAATTCATACATTTGCATTTATACACACACACACAAATACCATAGAGGCATGAAATAATAAAAAATGAAATGAAATGAAATGGATGAATGAAAAAATTTTTTTTTTCAAATTTATACACATAAAGTAATATAATAAACATTACCGAAAAAAAGCGCATATACCGATAAAGTCAGGCCCAATGTTAAATGATGATGATGATGAGAAACAAAAAAAAAATTTTTAGATTCTCAACGCTCCAAACAAATGTTTGTGTGTTTGGTGTGTGTGTACAACAACAATAGATTCAGTTCCAGTTTTTAATATATATTTTTTTTTGTCATTGATAGTTCTGAGACGGGTGTGTGTGTGTGTGTATTATTATTGTTGTTGTTGGTTTATGTATAAGTGCGAATCAAACTAAAATAAAAAAGGAATACAAGAATAAAATTGAATATAGAATTTATAAACAATCTATGTAGCAGTAGTAGTAGTATTCAGTAGAAGCAATGAATCTAAGAATTTTGATTCTGAAATAAATTCTGGATTCAAAAAAAAAAAATGAAAATACAATAAAAATTTCATCTCCACCCATATATTGACTATTATCTATGCTACTATGTTTTTTTCAGGTTCTGTTTTGATTCTTCTTCTTCTTCTTATTCTTCATTTGGGTGTATGCGTAATGTATGTGTGTGTGTGTGGAGTGTATTAGAATTTGATGCCCGGATCATCAGAAAAAAAAACACAAACTCCAAACAACGCCTGTTTTTTTTTCATGGCATCAAAGTCATAACCAGAACATACACACATATACCATGTGTGTGTGTGTGTGTGCGTGTGTTTGTGTATAAATGTATAATTCTGATGCCACATTGGACTAATAATAAACTTTAACATTCAAGTTATATTAGATGGAAAATACCCTTTAGAAAAAGAGTATGGATCCATAAAGATATGTATATATATATTATATAGAATAAATGGACAATATAAATAATGTATACGAATACGAATTTTCATGTGATCTTAGAGGATTTTTTTTTTTTTTTTTTTGGTTGACGTCATTGAATCAAATAATAATAGTATATACATACGCAGATCTATTGTGTTGTATGTTATCTATCAAAAAAAAAAAAAAAAATAAATAACCATGAGACAATGTTGGTGAACTCTAAAACACTTATCTTGTGTTATATTTCAAGTGTTACGTGTACGAATCAAATAAACAAAAAAATTGGTGCATAGCTTTCAAATAAAAAAAACCTAGTAAAGAATACTAAAATTTTGGTATTATGATGATAGGACCTGTTTGTTGGTGTGTTTGTGGCTACGATTCTTGCTTGTTACCACTACTACATTCTATCATATATATATATTACTAATACATTCTACTAGATTCTATCAACGCAAATGAAAACGAAAAAATGACGATTGATGATGACATTCACTTATTGTGATTTTTCTGTTTTTTTTTTTTTTTTTTTGGTGAGGAAAGTCAAAAAAAAAGAAAAGAATTTTTTTTCCATTAGAGTAAAGTGAATATGAAATAATAAAATGAAAGAAATGTGAGGATGAGTAATGTATTGAATAGATATTATAATTTTACGAATACGAATAAAATGACGCCATCATGGATCATGCGTGATTTTTTTTTTTTTTTTTTTGATTAAATGGATAAATGAATGAACCATTTTTTTTCGTTTATGCTTCTGCTATGGAATTCACTACAAATGTAAAAGAAGAAGAAGAAGAATCGTCATTCGATTAAGATTATTTCATTCATACAATATAGTATAGTAAAGATAAAGAAGATCTTTTATTCTTGGATAAAAAATGGATCAACTACACACACATGCATACACACAGACACAAAAACTTTCATTTGAGGTTCTATGAACTAAAAGAAAAAGAAAAAGAAAAAATCTTTTTTCCCCATAGTACCATTTATTCTGTGTTGTTTGTCTTTATATTTGTATGGGTTATCTCCGTTTTAAGTATAGGCTTAGCTCAGGTTCATTACCAAATAAAGAATTGAACAAACGAAACGATGACGATTGATAATCATAGTAGAGAAAGAAATAGAAAAAAAAATTGATGCCCAAAAGAATAGGCCATATACTTTTGAGATTTGAGATTTTTTTTCCAATAAAATGAAATGAACGGCGACCATTCAAACAAAGCAAAAAAAAATCAAACAACGCAAAATCAGACTTGAGACTGATTTTTTTTTTTTTTATATTCTTTTTTTCCACAATTTCAGTGATTCTTTACGATGAAAACATTACTCTAGTTGATCAGGTTATGATCGATAAATGGATGAATGGATCAACCAAGGCTACATGATCGATCTAAATGTCTTGCTTACTGTTGGTATAATCATCTTCATCATTATAGCTATTATCATTGTTAAATTGATTTTTTTTTTCATTTCTTTTTTGTTCACTTTGTTCAGTGATTGCTGATTTTGCTAGTTTTGTGGCTCCGGATTTTTTTTTTTTTTTGACTGAAATTCATTTCAGTAAAGCTAAGAAAGAATATATAAATTATTATGGAATTCAGATTTTTTTTTTTTTTTTTGGTTGAAAACTAGGACATCTTTCAAACCAAACAGCACATATGAAAAGGAATATGAATGTATGTATGTATGTATATTCTATTCACTGATTTCAAACCGAATAATGTGAAAAACAGTAAAGCTAGATCAGGAATAGACCTGACCGATTTGCACCAAAAAGATAGATTTCACTTCAAACGCGAGATTGGCCAATGAGAAAAAAAAGAATAAAAAGAAAAAAAAGTGACGGCTCAAACTGATATCGAGACCTAGATAGATGAATAAATCAATCTATTATGGAAGAAAAAAAAGGAGAAATTCTACCGATCCATCGAGAATTCTGATTATTAGTGATTTTATTCACTAATTTTACATTATCAATATTTGCGTTTCGTAGTGCAGTGCTGTTTTCGATAATCAATTCTCATCAATCTCTGGCCTGAAGAGCAAAAAAAAATGCAATGTATAAGTGAATAAAAATTTGATTAAATTCATTTGACTGACTACAGAATTCTGGAACTCATAATTTTCATTCAGTCATAACTATCGAAGCAACCATCATTACCACTTTAAGCCAATCATGAATTCAAACTTGTAAATGATGATGATGATGATGATGAATAAGATATTCAAGAAAGATGTACGCATATAAATAAAATGTGATTTAAATGGTCAAAATTAATTGATTTGAATACGATAAAAAAAATGTATTCGAAATTGAGAATATTTATAAATTTTCCGTTCTTTTTTGTTGTTGTTGTTTTCTTGTGTTCAAATATTTGGAATACAAGTAAAAACGATATTCACTACCTAACCTTTTATTATTAGCGATCAAATTACAACAAAGGTTCTGGATTCTGTTCATCATTATATACAATTTGACAAACGGCAAACACATGCACACAATGATGGATCAGTCTTTTGCATTTTTTTTTCTTTGCCTCCTGTGTTATATAACATTCATTCATCGTGTGATATTAGACAGATTTCTTTCGAAATAAAAAAGAATTCTGCCGA